CCAAGGAGTGAGCCGGTGTGTACCTGGACACCCATCCCTGGACACAAAGAACCACCAACGAACCGATGTCTGAGGGCGTCTGCCTGGCTATCACTCAGAATGAAATAGCATAGCACCTTAATAAACACCTTAAATAGTGCAAACATCATTTATCCAGCCCATTATGTGGTATTAACGAAGTAATTACACTGTGCACCAAACCTCGCGTATTGCGAAGCCTCTTCATCGGGGACTGGCTAGAAACAAATGTCAGTCAGGAGGGGAACTTCACCCAGCAGTTTCACTCGGTAAGACAACGTTTTTCACGTATACCATTGCCTTCTCTGGATCCAGAAACTCCTTACTCTCGCCCCTGAAAGATATACGCAGTCTCGCTGGAAACATTATTCCGTAGCGGACATCTTGACACCATCGAAGCAGGTTCCTCACGTCGTTAAAAGCGGAGCGAACTTTGGCAATGCTCGTGGTGTGATCAGGGAAGATGGCCACAGAGTTCCCCTTGTATTGCAACGGACCCCGCACCCAGGCCTGTCATAACACATTGACGCAGTCTTGGCAGTAATGGAGTTTGGCGATGATAACTCGAGGTTTCCCGTTAAATCTTCTGGGAGCAAGGCCTCTATGTGAGTGGTCCACCAGGATTTCTTTATCCAGTTGCAGAACTTCTTTCAATAGAGTAGAAACTGAGCGGGTCGAGCTGGAACCGGCATCCTCCGCAACACCTACAATATGAATATTGCACCTCTGCATTCTTGCCTCCATATCTTCGTTCTTTTCTTTTAAGCTAGCCAGCTCAGTCTGTAATCCTGCAACCGTCTCTTGGAGGCTGACAACCTTGTCTGACCATGATGATAAACCCTCTTCCAGGTCGCTAATAGCGGACTTGACGTTGTTAATTTCTGAGTGGACTGCTACGGTGTTGTTAGCAGTCTCCATCTTAACTTCTCTTAGTTCGTTCTTGAGGGAGTCGAAATCCTCTGCAAGCGCACTTTTCAGTTCTGACCTGATAATCGTGGAGATATCGTCTTTCAGAGAGGAGAGGATGTCTAATTTCAGACCTTTATACTCCATCGTGGTGCCTGACTGTGAGCTAGGCAATGAGCTCCCGCTTGCTTTATCAGCGTGCGCCGAGGATGCGTCTGGCCGCTGGCCCGAGGGGCCGGTAAACTTATATTTCCGGAGTTTAGATGCCATTCCGGTTGTAACCAGTGATCCATTTTTTCCCATCGGTCACAGGTGTTACGGGGAGTGATAGTTCGTTTAAATAAGCCTTTAAAATTGGAATTGTTAAACTATAAGCTAGTTTGATGTAAGTCTGTTAGCAGTAACTAACCAACCAACCTAGTGATGTCATATTATGTAATGACAAAGATGGGGTATACTCTAAAAACTTTAAACAGTAATTTCTTAAATCCAGCTTCAGTGACCGTTTTAATTCTGTGTCAGTTTCTTTAGAGTAGGGCTCCATGGTGTAAAGTAGCCTTAGCCCTAATACATGTATTTTCCCAGCTCATACATTACACTACATACACAGTTTATAAAAATCTAATGAGACTTTAAAAACCAGAAATTCAATACCTTAAATTATCAGATTAGTTCCTGAGATCAATCAAAAAAGGATTTAGAGAAATGTTCAACTTCTGAAACACACGTTCATTCATGCATACTTGCTGGAAGCTCCTTTACTATCAATCACTTCAATATTCTAATTTTTTGAAACGTACTTGTAGCTACATAAAGTCAGGCTGTATAAAATTTAATGTGGACATATATTTTGCTTCCCAAGCTCCATTTATGGAATACGTTGCACGGTGTCAGAAATCCAACACTCTCATTCAGTGATCCAACAGTTCACAGGCCTGGACTCTCATTGAGTTAGTCATATGGCACATGGAAGTCAGTCGCTATTAGTTATTCTCAACAGCTGAAGTTCATCATCTAGAACATCTCACCTTCACTGGATCACACAAGCCTTTCATTTCATGCAGACTGTTAACTACAGAGACCTAAAAGAGTGACTAAACACTGCAAAATCAACATGACAAGAGAAAGCTGCTGATTCTACAGGTGTTGTGTTTTATTACAGCTTAATAGTAACGTAGAACAATGTGTCAAAACACGATCCACTGTTCATGCTCCACTATTTAAGCTTAAGAATAAGCTGTAAGCTGTTCTGTTACAGCTTAATAGTATGCTGGAACAGTACATTGAAAAAAAAAAATTGGGCCTAGAGCTAGCATCTCCTTTTATACTTAAAACTTGTGATTTTAAGTATTATGATTACATTACAATAGTAGAAACCCTCAGTTAAGGAACTGTAATTTTGATCTTTGAATAGTTGTAATGGTGCCACAGCTGCATTATTGCTTTATTTCAACATTTATGTTAAAAACAAAAACTACAACAACAAATCTTCATCATAAGTTAGCCTGAGTGCACGGACAGTGAAGGCATTCCATTTTAAGTGGTGTTGTATTAGGACTGTTCCGAAAAACGTTTTACATGTATGAGTCATGTGCAAGCATGTTGGTAAATATACAGCCAGTGCACCTGTATAATAGTGTATTTAAAGATCTCTGTGTATATATAAATAACCACTATGGAAACCTCTCATATGTTCACATTTTATTTGGATTGTCTATGTTCCCTTGGCAACAGGTGAAGGGGATTAAGAAATACTCTATGTCTGGTCTTAGAGGTCAAGAATAGCTCTCTGTCATTTTCTCTTTCTGTCTGACATATACAGACACGCGCGCGCGCACACACACACACACACACACACACACACACACACAGGAATAGCATTTTTTCCTCTGTCACTTGCCCCTGTGCTCTCAGCTTAAAATGCAAAGCAGCAGGAGATTAAAAGCCATGGTCCTGGCTGTCCGTCTCAGACCGCCAGCACCACTGTTTGAAAACACATTTTGTGCAGTCGGTCTGAAGTCAATAGGGTTGCTCTGGAGATAAGGTAATAGGCAGACAGAGAAAGAGATGGTGAAAGAACGGGAGACGCAGACAAATAGCATGCTAAGAAAGAAACAGGGAAGTAAAGATAGTAGAGAGGTCACTGCACAATGTCTTCAACAAACTAGAACCCCTTAAAAAAGACACTTAAGCTGTTTCTCAAACTGGCTTTTTCCATCAGCCTCCATCACTCCATTCACCATCCTCCTATCTCTAAGATAACAAATGAGAATGAGAAAGTTAAGTTTGGGGTACAGAACTGTTTTTTAACTGAAGCTTGTTCAAATTGAAAAACCACGGATTTGTCAACAAGGGATTTTTTTTTTTTTCAAATCCCGTTCCTTGGTGCAAGGAGGAACAGAATGAGCCAAAGTCCTACAGCAAGCCACTGGTATGGATATACTTGAGTGGCCTGAGGGCCCAACATTCTCCAGTGGGCCTGCTCAGTACCATGGACCCCGATTGGCATTTGCCATAGAATACCAGTAGTGGCAGGTCCACCACCACTGGAGCCCAGTTCTTTTCATAGATTAGAGCAGGGGTCCCCAGTCCCAGTCTACGAGGGCCGGTGTCCCTGCAGGTTTTAGATTTGTCCTTGATCCATCACAGCTGATTTAAATGGCTAAATGACCTCCTCAACATGTTTTGAAGTTCTCCAGAGGCCTGGTAATTAACTAATCATGTGATTCAGGTGTGTTGACCCAGGGTGAGATCTAACACCTGCAGGGACACCGGCCCTCGTGGACTG